AAAAAAAACATAGAGGTAAAACCGTTAGGATGTCTAATGGTTAATAGTTAAGTAGACACCATTCCAATAACATACCTACTTTCATATTCAAATGTCATACTTTAAAACAAAAATATATATTTGTAACCATAATTAGAAAGAAACTAAAGAAACTATCTCAGAAGCACCATACTCATGAAGAACCAACATTGCAAATGCTACAATCAATGTAAGACTACCTTTATCGGTGACCCCAATGAGTGGGTCACCGATTAAAAACAAAAGAAATAAATAAAAGGAAAGGTCGTGAAACTTGAACGACCCAGGTCACATTGTGACCTTGGGTCGCGACCCGTGTAGTGTGTTAGAATGGAACACTTGTTCCATTTTCATTAGATAAGTGTATATTTTTTTTTGGTTTAAAAAAAATAAAACAGATATTAAAATTCGTATTTTTTTCATTCTCTACAAATAGAGATCAAATTTGATATATTTTATAATAAAATTGTAATTTTAAAATAAAATAAAATAAATATTTAGATTGAGTTGGTTGAGGATAAAGATATATTGAGTTGTAAACTTGAGTTGTGTAGGTGGAGGAGATAGAAATAACTTTTTATTACTAGATTGGGTTGAATTGGGTTGGGCTGGGAATAAGGATAGTCTAAGGACTATAATCAGTTCCAAAAAGTAGACTTTTTTTTTCCTTTTTCTTTTTTTACATTAATGAAGCAATTCAAGAAAATCGGTACCTTTCTTCTTTGTTCATTCTGCTCAAATGTACAGAAAAACTAAGAACTTTAACCGTAACTCAATCTTTTGCGATGCGAACAATCAAACCGCTCGGTGACTGAATAGTTTTGAGGCGGCCCGAGCCAATCAAATCCCTCAAGTGAAATCTCATATCAAGCGGAGATAGTCGCAAGCGCTTTTTCTCTAAAGAAGCCAATATCATTTCTTTGTACTTTCTTCGGTTGAGAATAGACAAAAGCTCTTTTCTTCCCTAACACGAAAAATCATCACAATTTCAAAAGCATTGGTCAAGGATATTTACTCAAGTGAAACTGCAATAAAATAGAAATATAAATGGCCTTATATATAATGAACTGCATAATTTCAAATTAGTTGCGCGGGAAAATATAATCCACATGAATCTTGACTTGAATAATAAAAACTATAGCTGGTTATTACCTGTGAGAGACCTTTGAGCACCGATCCAATATTTGGGATCGAGAACCAATACATATCCGGGTCGATGAGTTGTCGAATCTTGAAGAGAATTGCATGGCCGTTTAAACAAAAAAAAAGGATGTAACAAATTCGGAAAATAAACACAAAGAGTGTAAAAGAGCTTGTGGCACAAATAAAATCATTTAATGAAACTCTACGAATTCAGGAAAAAATTTCCTTAAAAATTGAAAGAAAAAAGAAAATAGCAAAAGGGTTACTCACAATAAGGCCTGCGCTAATTAATTTAGAGATGTGTTCTTCTTCCACTGTTCCTCCTAATGAAAGTAGTCGACACTGCAAGAACCGTGAACAGGAATCAGCTATACACGCAGATCTCTTGAATCGTACAGTTTTTTTTTTTAACAAGAGACTTAGTTCTATATGAAGAAGGAATTTAAGCAAAGATATAAAATACGAGGCAAAATTCACTAACAAGCTCTTGATGACTAATGCTGGTGTCGAGCTTCAATTGTATGACATGTGTCTTAAACCACTCAAAAACTGTGCCGTCGTTTTTATTTTTTTCTTCCATCCTTCTCGTGACAAGGTCAATCTGAAAATTAAAACAAACAGCATAAACTATTGGATCGTTTAATGTTTGTTTGTGTGTGTGTGTGTGTATCAAAACTGACATGTTTTATGTAGTCATCGAAAAACATTATGGCATGATCGTCCTGTCCAGTATTTAACTTAAATATCCGCAACACTTTGTCCCTTCGGAAAGACTGCACAACATTAAAAAGTATATGCTGATTGATGATCCACATTCTTATACCCAACCAATAATAACAGAAAAAATAAATAAATAAATAAAATAAAAAATGGGGAGGAGGAGAAAAAATAAAGGGTGTCTAATCTTTCACCATACTCGTAATGAAAAACAGAAAGATCCCACCAGTTATCAGGGAACAAAGTAAAAGTACATGAAAATGAAAATTGTACTCACAAATTTCATAGGAAAACACTAAATCTAACTACTTAGAAGCTCCCTTCAGTGGAAAAAAAAAAAAAAAACTGTGATTTATTTTCAAAAAAAAAAAAAAGAAAAAAAAAAAGCTCACCTCTAATTCTCTATCGACTTGTGTCCTATCCTTTATACTGCTATACAACTGTGACCGCAAGATAAAAGGTTGAATTGAAACCTGAAGGCACATGGTACTCCAAAACTTCAAAGAGCCGACTGAATATAAAATACAAAAGCATATTTTATTCCTGAGAGAAAATACGATTCGTCGTGACAGCAACAAACAGCAATAAAATTCCTAAAAACTTAATATACCGAAAGCAATGGACCGAGAAAACTAAGTTCACAATGGATCAAGATATATACAAAAGAAAACAAAATGATGATCAAGCATACAAGCAGCAAGCAAAGGTTCATTACTTTATTACATTGAAAGATAACTATGAAAAAAACAATAGTCTTGATCTAGATTAAACCCAATTCAGGAGAAGAATCGTTTCTACATATGACAACTAGGATGCGAGCTAATCGTAATCCGAAGGTCCCCGTACTTCTTTCTTCTCACAACATCTTACTCAAACCGCAAATCGGAAACAAATAACAATGAAGGAAATTTTTAAAGAGGGCTACTGTGTAGTCCTTCACTATACTAACATCACCTCAATGATTCATCCAGATTAAAAAATTAAATAACTACAAGAAGGACCCTATCAGCAAATCCCCCCCCACAACCTCCATAGCTGCCATAAGACCTATAAAGTTCATTACAGAACTTCGAAAATCTTCCATAAATCGGACTCTGTAAGGACTTCATGAAAAAAAAGATAGCTCCCACCACATTATCAAGAAATCTAATTATCACTACAAACCCTCTAGTTCAACCAAATAACTAAGAAATGGATTCAATTTTCGAAGACCACACGAAAGTTCGCGCATACGGTCACAAGATTACACTTTTCGGAAACAATTCTTAAAGAAGGAAAGAATCTTGACATACTTTGGCAATTTGGGGGAACTGGGCATGCATCACACGCAGA